AAAAAAAAAAGAAACGAGCAAAATCCATATGAAATAAAATGATGAGTAAAATCCATAAGAAACAAAACGATGACTACATTAAACATACACAAATTTACCTTTGACACGAGCAAAGCAGCAAGCTGCCGCTGTTCAAACTCTTCATCTTCATACAAGCTTTCTCTGCCCCAAAACAAACCAGATAGTTTGCATTTGAAGACAGCATTACATTACAAATGGACACGAGAGAATTAGCCAGCAGATAAGTTAATGACAACAGAAAACAAGCTTGCAGACACATAATAAAAATCGATTAACATATATCATTACGGTAAGTGCTAGGGCTTCATATAAGTATCAGAAAGAAAAGGAAAGCATGTGCAGAAATTCATTAGATAAAATGAATGGCCATCAAATAATTCAAGGACTAATAAAGATGTCAGGCGGAAAAAAGAAGCATATTGTAAAATAGCAAACTACAGAAGTTAAATCAAAATATTCACAGCTAAAAACTGCATTCTAGATCATATTCACAGCAATTACTGTCCTGCTATCATCCCCTATCCTTCCTATAGGATGTTCTCCATCACCAAAACCACAATCAATCACCAAACTACCAACTCTCAGTCCCTCTCGAACTACATTCGAATTACAAACTAATAAGAAATCGCCTTAACAAATGTAGTAATAAATAACTATAACAGCATATGCTATTACAAAGCTATTTATATGAACCCCAACTCCCCGACACACAACTACACTCAGAAACCAACATAACTAAAATCCCCAATTCGATAACTATCAACCTCAAATGATAAAAGCTAAACATAATTCATCAGCAACACCATAGTTTCATGAAAAGAAAGAAGAAAACTTAATGGTACTTACATAATATTCAGAGAATCCGAGATCTCCGGCCAGAAGTAGTGAACAAAAGCGTTAAGATTTGAGAGCGCGTGTAACTTGAGCGCCGGATGGTTTTCATTCAGCATTGAAAGCAGCCCACCAGCCGAGCTGACCATCGTTGCCGCAGCCATTGTAGGTAGATTCCAAAAAACTTAGGGTTTGAAACAAATATATTCGATTGAAGGGTATATGGCGACGAATACCAGAAGTTCGGAAGATTGAAACAGAGTAGAAAAGATTTCACGAGTTCTCGGCAAGAGGGGCTTCGTGACCTCGTCTGTAAAGGGTGTGTTAAATGGAGGGGAAGGGAGGGGAGAGGAGGGGAGGGAAGGTGATGTAAAATAATTTTAGCATGTTTGGAAGGGATAATTTAGGAGGGGAAGTGAGGGAAATGATAAACCTTGTTTGGAGGGATAATTTAAGAGGGGAAGTGAGGAAAGATGGTAAACCTGTTTGATTAAAAAAGTAAAGAAAGGAAAATAAAATTAAAATGACAAATTTACCCTTAATGAAGTAAGATAAAAAATTAAAAACAATTGAAAGTAGGGACTAAATGATCATTTAACATCATTATATAACACTTCACTTCCAAATCCTTCTAATTTTGGAGGGGAGAAAAAGTGAGGGAGGGGAGGAAAAATTACTTAAAATTTCCTATCCATCCTCTCTTAATTTTGCAACCAAACAAGTGAAAATTAAAATTCTTCATCCCCTCCCCTCCAAATCTCTCAAAACAAACAATACCTAAGGGGTTGTTTGGTTGAAGGAAATGTAGGGGAGAGTTGTTTTTACTTTTTATTATTCCCTCATTGGTTGTAGGTTATAGTGTTTATACATGGAAAGGAAGAGTTAAGCATGAGACTTGGAGGGTTTTGAATCGTTCCGAAAATTTAACTAAAATCACTCTGAACTAATAATCGTTGATCGTTTGACTTTCTCCGAACTGAACCAAATAAAAAAAATGATTGGTACGTTTTTGGAGATTTTATAAATATTCGTACCGAGAATCGAATCAACTCTTCTCATACCTTTCGAACCAAATAACTAAAATCAAGAATTGAATTATAACATACTAATATATTTATGTCAACTTTAATCCTATATTATTTGAGAATGTTTAAAATGCAAATAAAATATATTAATAATAATTTAGTTTCACTTAAATTTTATATTTAGTAATACTTGATCTACAATTAAATTTATTCAGTTTTAGAAAAAAAAAATATATTTAAAATGGTATGAAAGGTTACAGAAATATTTTTCAAAAACAATATTTAAACTTACTTAAATTTGTCGATACTTTTCTTAGTCTTATTCTATCTTTTAATTAAAATGGTATGAAAGGATAAAAAGTATTATTAAAAAAATAAAAATATATTATATTTTGTTTGAATTTTAAAATTTCATAGTTACCCAAATTTAATATTAACTAAAATTTAGAGTTACCTCTAAAGTTGATTTCAAAATAAAATATTTAATATGATAAAGTATTGATGAATGTTGGATTTCTCAAAAAAATCGCATATAAAAATTAAAAAATAACTAATTAGTCATTTAAAAGATTTTAAAAAATAATTAAAAATCTCCAGAGCTTCGAACCGAATCGTTCCGATAGTCCCGAATACCGAACCGAATTGAAAAATAAAAATCTCTGAATCGAATCGTCCCGACTTTTTAGTCACTTCCGGTGATCGAATTTTAGTGATCTCTGAGTTTCAGTACGGTTCTGGAGATTTATCAATCTCCGAACTTACCGACCCAGACTCACCCCTAGTACGGAGTTGTTTGATTGAGGGAATGTAGGGGAGAGTTGTTTTTATTTTTCCCTTCTAGGTTATAATTTTTATAACCCATATAGCGTAATGTCTTTCGTTTGGTCTTTATATAGTGTACGTGTCCAGACTTTTTAGTCGCTTCCGGAGATGAATTTTAGTGATCTCTGAATTTAAGTACGGTTTTGGAGATTTATCAATCTCCTAATGTACCGACCTAGACCCACCCCTTGTACGGAGTTGTTTGATTGAGGGA